TTCTGATCGACGAAATCGGAATCCTGATCGATCTCGTCGTGGAATTTGATCTGTTTAAAACCTCCTTTCACAAACCAAGGATCTTTCAGAATCTCATCAATGGTGATTCTGGTTTGGGGATTAATATCAAGTAGACGAGAAATAAACCGTCTCAGATCTGGAGAAATCCATCTCGGAAATCGATAATCTCCCTTGTAAATCTTCTTATACATATTCATCAGATTCGGATCATTAAACGGCAAAAAACCAGCGACGAGAACGAACAAGACGATACCACAAGACCACACATCCACCTTCGCACCTTCGTATCCTTTCTTCGAGAGAATCTCCGGTGCCACGTAAGCAGGTGTACCACACAATGTATGCAATAACCCGTCGGGTCGGATCTGATCCGTTAAAGCGCTTAAACCGAAATCAGAGACCTTAAGGTTTCCGTTTTCGTCGATCAAGAGATTCTCCGGTTTGAGATCACGGTGGTAAACGCCGCGTGCGTGGCAATAACCAACGGCTGAGATCAATTGTTGGAAATATCTACGGCTCAGATCTTCGCTTAAACGACCGTGTTTGGAGATTTTGTTGAATAACTCTCCTCCTTTAACAAACTCCATAGCGAAGAAGATCTTCGCCTTCGTCGCCATTACTTCGTGGAGCCTGACGATGTTTGAGTGAGATAAACGTCTCATGATCGAGATCTCGCGTTTGATGTTGTTGGCTAAAGCTGGGTTTGCGAGGAGTTTCTTCTTGTTGAGTACTTTAACGGCGACGCTTTGGCCTGAACGGCGATCACGAGCGTGGAAGACTTTTGCGAAAGCGCCGCATCCGAGAAGCTTCCCGAGCTCGTATTTACCGAACAAGGCGTTGTCTCCGTCGCCTGCCGCGACGATTTCGATCTCCGGCATAGTTTTGGAAGCCAGGATCGATTGAGAGATGAAGATTGATCGAACAGAAGATGAATTTCGTCGGAGAATTTGAAATGTGACTTTGATTTGCGCGTAATTCGAATGGGAACAATCGTGTGAACACGTAATG